AGTGTACTCGTCCCCAGAATAGTGTACATTGTACCTGGTAGGTCAAATTTCTTCTTAAAAGCTGAAGTTTATTCATTTAGTACTGCTTTGCCTCCCTTAGTAATAAAAAGTTTTCTTTTCATTGTTGTTTCATTTTTAAATACAGTCATGTTGAATCAATACTGGTACACTAAATATACACTTTAAAATATATCTTAGAATCTCGAAATAGCAAATGCCAACAAAACAAAAACTCTTTCGAACTAAGAGCAGAGAACCCAATACTTTCAATTAAGATATGTATATATTTTATGCACTTTGTATAAATTCATTATTAACGTGAATCTAATTATTAGTCAGAAAAAGAGGATGGGTTAAAACTACATTTTGATGACCTGTGTATCCTTCTAGATTTTTGATCTTTTATCCCAGAAAACATATATTATTATATTATGCCACATCCCTTTATAACAAAAAAATTTAATATTTATCCTAAGACATCTTTGAAACACCTGCCTAATACTTGTTTTTGTAAGAGACCAGTAAGAGAGAGATGGGGTATTTACTTATGCAACATAAGCTTTTTCTCCTCCATTATTTCTTTAGTCATATGTCAGATATAGTCATGAGTAATCATCTATTTCCTTTTTTAAATGAATGGAGTTTGGAAAGATTTTATACAACTATTGCATTTTATACTTATTACATTTACTACAGCCAGTGAATTAGCTTAGTCAACAGATTACTCCAGAATTATTTTTGAAAAGGGGCTAATATTTTTTAATTGGAGGTACCTTTGAGGTTATAAGTCCACATATGAATTGGAAGGTTTGCCACTGGACAAAAAAAATCTGTGACTCCTGATGAACATCAGCTGTAATAAGGGAAGCTGTCCTTGACACCACTTTGTGCCCATGTGTGCCCATCACTTAGCTCCCACTTAGTGAGAACACATTGTGTTTTTCTGGTCTTGAGATACTTCACTTAGGATGATGGTCTCCAGTTTCATCCAAGTTGCTGCGAAAGACATTATTTCAGCTTTTTTATGGCTGAGTAGTACTTCTTGGTATATACAGACCACATTTTCTGTATACACTCACCAATTGATGGGCACCTAGGTTGATTCTATATCTTTTCAGTTGTGAATTGTGCTGTGATAAACATTCAGGTACACTATCCTGGTGATGGGCACTGAAAGTGCTGACTTCAGCATTATACAATTCATCCGTGTAACAACACTTGTACCCCCTTAATATTTTGAAATTAAAAAAAATTAAAAAAATAAAAAAAAATTAAGCTTTTGCTTAATTTTGTCTGTCTTAGTATACCCAGAGTATGGGGTATTTGCAAAGAATTCTATGAGAATTTGAGGTCCAAAATATTCATTTCTGTGGGGAATTGCAAGTCCTATTCACACTGAACAAGTTCCTATCTGTCTGTCTGTCTGTCTATCTATCTATCTATTTATATTCTATGGAAAGAGCTAACCCCTAGTGATATGGTAACCATAGCAAACAGCAAATAAACCTCAAAATCTTAAGTTTGAAAGGCTAGGACAGTAGAAGCAAACTTATCTTTGTGATAACATTTTATGCATATATTAATAGGAGACACTACATAGGTATTTGTTAAACTAAACTAAATAAAGTTTACACTGCCTTTGATCAACATTATAAAAATTGAAAAATTATTAGAAGTGTTAATCATGAGGCCGGGCGTGCTGGCTCATGCCTGTAATCCTACCACTCTGGGAGGCCGAGGCAGGAGGATAGCTCAAGGTCAGGAGTTCAAAACCAGCCTGAGCAAGAGCAAGACCCCCGTCTCTACTAAAAATAGAAACAAATTAATTGGCCAACTAAAAATATATAGAAAATATTAGCCAGGCATGGTGGTGCATGCCTGTAGTCCCAGCTACTTGGGAGGCTGAGGCAGGAGGATCGCTTGAGCCAGGAGTTTGAGGTGCTGTGTGAGCTAGGCTGACACCACGGCACTCACTCTAGCCTTGGCAACAGAGTGAGACTGTCTCAAAAAACAAACAAACAAACAAACAAGGAAGTGTTAATCATGAAAACCAAAAGAAAGATGTTGTTAGTGCCTGGTGTCTTGATGGAAGAATACCCTTAGTTTTACCAGGTTACTCCTCTAACTTTCAGAGTCTTAATATAAAAAGCATTTAAATATTTTTGGATTGAATGTGAAATAATATGAGTCTCTTCTATATTGTGGAATATGAGCTTGGAAAAGTTAAGGTGATGATATCAAAAGAAGGGATACATCTGCTTCTAATCTCTTTGCTATATAAAGACATGGATACCAACTGTGAGTTCATAATAACAGTTTTTGATTCTTAAAATACTAATTTCTTTTAAATATATAATAAATTTCCTTAACTAAAGCTATATAGAACAGGATCATCATCATCCATTTCAAAATTACTTTCCAAAGTACTTAGTTTCCAGTTAAGGAAAACTCAGAACCCATACCCTCTATCAGTGCAAATGCTCTCATTTATGCTATAAGATCCAAAATATTAAAGTATAATTTTCGCTACCCCTCCCGGCCAACCTTTTCTAAGGAGATCTATAAAATCATTTTAGATTTTCTGTGCTGCATTTCTTATGCTGATAGAGCATAAAAAATAAGTGGAGTGATACTAATAGGAGCTGAGAAAGGAAAAAAAGAGTGGGGGAATTAAAGAGAAAAACAGGGCTGAGAAAGAAAACTTGGAACATTTAATAAAGGAATAGAAAAAAAGAGATCTAGTACTGGTGAATATTTTGAGATGAGAGATTTAACTGACTGCCTAGCAGAGCAGAAATTTGACAGGAAAAGACATCAAAACAGATTTTTAGGAAACGTGGTTGGGTATTATGTTATATAATTCATTCTTCACCGTTTCTTCAGAAGACCTAAAAAAATTTGCTTTTCGAGGACTTGATTTGGATATGTTTTCTATTCATGGTCTTAGATAGGTCTTAAAGCTGTAGCTGAATGGTAGTTTTATTCAGCTAATAGTTGGATATATTTTATTAAGTAATGCAGAGTGAAAGAAGATGTCTCTTTTTAAATTATAGCATGCATAATTTAATTAACAATAGTTATAATATAACTCAGTGCAAAAGTGCTGTAAATCTTGATTCTTGTTAAGCCAAAAGTTTTATAATTTCTGATTACTTTTTTTAGTTTGATGATTTAAATACTTTTACTCTCTCCTTGAGTGCACATTGTTTTTTACATTTTTCAAAATATGCCTTATACTATAGATACTGAGAATTCATTATAGACTAGAAATTGACTATCTAGAAAATAAAGTCAAAATGGTTTCTTCAACTGTCTGATTTTAAAATAAAAAGCCCTCAATAGGACATAAAGAAATTTAAAATAAAGCAGGTACTTGAACATATATGTATGTTTTAGTTATCAAAGATTACTCTTAAAGACTTGTGATTTACGGAAGGTTCTTATTTTCTTTTTATAATTAAGTTTTATGCTTTTGCATATTAAATAGTTTAATTACTAAATATGTTCACCAGTAAATCTCAAATGTTTCACATAAAATTTCCAAATGGACTTGGCATTGTAACTGTTAATATTCCTAGATATTGTAATACCCTTGGGATCATGGGATCCATGATTGGTAGGCAGTAAAGAAATAAATATCCTTACATTTTAATGTTTCTGTTTAATCTTGCACACATATTTCAATCTTGTTGTTGACAATTATTTGGTATAAAATTTCACTGGCTTATTATGCTTACGATTCTGAAAAATAGAAATGTAATTTAAAGAAATTTTGAAGGAGCTATGGGATGAGAGACAAAGTGAAAAGGTAGTTTTATAATACCATAAGATGTTAGAGAAGAAAAAAAAAAGAAGTAAAAATTAACCAGATGGGCCGGGCGCGGTGGCTCACGCCTGTAATCCTAGCACTCTGGGAGGCCCAGGAGGGCGGATTGCTTGAGGTCAGGAGTTCCAAACCAGCCTGAGCAAGAGCGAGACCCCGTCTCTACTAAAAATAGAAAGAAATTAATTGGCCAACTAATATATATAGAAAAAATTAGCCGGGCATGGTGGCACATGCCTGTAGTCCCAGCTACTCAGGAGGCTGAGGCAGTAGGATTGCCTGAGCCCAGGAGTTTGAGGTTGCTATGAGCAAGGCTGGCGCCATGGTACTCACTCTAGCCTGGCCAACAAAGTGAGACTCTGTCTCAAAAAAAAAATAAAATAATAATTAACCAGATGTAGAATAGGCTTTTTTAAGAAAAAAAATTCTTACCAGAGAACTTTAATCTTGCAATCACTGAATGCCCACCCCATGGAAGTTTAAATACTTTAATAGAAATTTATTTCATCAAGGTATACAGATGTTGCTGACAGAGTCCTCTGGAGGACCATCTTATTCTATTCCTTATTTTTCTAAATACCTTTTTTATATTATAAAAATAAATATATGTGATTAATAAATTTAATCTGCTTTACATCTGTTCTTATTTAATATATATTTGAAGATAGGTAATATGGAAATTTTATATTTTCTCTAAATGTATCCAGATTTGTGTACATGTATCAAGCAAACTGCAGATAGGCTATGAGTGACACACCACCATGCAGGCTGATGGCTGAAAAATGTTGCTAGCTATTTCTGACACAATTACTTAAAAAGTGATGGATTTCCCACTTTTTCCTTTTTTAGTATACTTTAAGAAATACACTACAGATTCTTCCTTTTAGCTCTATACATTTTTTTTGAAATAAGAAATATTAAGAAGCTGTGGTAGGCAAAAACCAGGAGATAAATCAGCAAAAGAAAACATTCAGTGGGATCTAATATAATGGACGACCAACAGCATCTAAAAATAAGGTAAAAAGAAAAAGTGAGACTCCTTTAACTGAAAGAACACTACTACCACCAAAAAATGTAATTTAGGTAGAAATCTAAGAATATGGGTAGGACACCTTTATCTCTGAGATCCAACAAAAGCTGATCTATTAAATTAGCATCTTTAAACAACTTGCTGTGGTTTTTTTTTTTTTCTCCCTTAATACATTCTCCTTACTCTTCCACCTAGCACAGTAGTCATATTTTTTTAGTTTTCAGGGAGCAGCTGATTTTATAATTGAATTTGTACATCGGATAGCATTATTTTGATAAGCTGACTCAGCTTAATTCACTGAAAAATATATTTGCCTTTTTTTGCAACCTCTGAGAAGATTGTGACAACACACCATAGCCGTGTTCACATTTTATGAAACTATATTATAGAGCCAGGTTGACACTACTTTCTTAGAAGGTTTGGAAACGAGCTCAGCATGTTCATGTAACTTATTTTTGCAAACAAAACATAAGAATTATTCACCTTGCAAAATGTACCCTTGACAGTTAACTAGATGTGTTTATTTTCTTGGGCCACTGCAGAGATACCATAGAATTCTGTTCAAATTAAATTAATTACTCATTTTACATTAAATCTAAGGGTATAAACTTATATATGTTATTCAAAGCAATTCTACTGAGAATGACTAATTTTCTCAGTGCTTTGATAATTACTTTTGCAAACTTGTGAAGATGAACCAAGAGAATAGTCATGGGTTTATCCCAAGCTTCCCTCTACAAAAGCCATTAGATCAATGAATTCACTCTTGGTCTTTTCATGGGTGCTCTTCATAAGGTAGTAGAGAAATATACTATAGTAAGTAAAAAATTAGAGGGGCAAAGCCTTTAAACTACCACTTACTATGAAATATGTAGGACATTATAGAGTTGATTAAAAAAAATGAAAAACCCAGGCTTAGAAGTTTTAAAAGCACAGTATTTCTCTCCCTATCCCTTCCTAATAACCCCCTTCTTACTACAGTCACATCTGACAAAAATTCACTACATGTTATCACTGGTCATTTCTGCAAATAAGCCTATAATATCAGGCACCACCAGTTAAACTATTAAAAAATAAAGTAACAATACAACCCATAGAGTTGAATGTAATTACCTAAAAAACAAACATTTGTCAATTTGGAAGCTACTTGATCACAAAACATGAAAGAAAGGTCAACTATTTCTTTCTCTTTTACCATCACACTCTAAATACATCATTAAGCAAGCCACACCTGGATAAATTCCTCTAGGTTAAGTCCGTGAACACTTCCCATATACTGCTATACAAAGTTACACGTCCATGCTGAGTTATTTACCATTATGTAGTGGTAATCTGCAGTGGGCCAGGGTTTTATCTGCAGGATATTCAAAGAGGACTTATGTAGCATGATTTTAAATCCAGGTTGGAAGCATAAACATAAGGTGTGTGCCTATAGTCTGAACAGAAAACTGCAGTTTGTGAAGTGATGTTTGGAGAATCATAAGAGAGGGTAGTAGAAAGCATATCCTTCGTTTTAGAAATGCTGAGGCACAAAACACAGGTGCTTGTAGTACTTTCATACATGAAATCCTTTCTCCTGTATGTGCATCATGTGTAAACGTAAAGTCTGTATACTGCTGACTATTCGTCTCTGATGTCCAATAAGTATGACTCCAATTCTTCTAATGTCACTGAGAGAAAGAAAGAGAAAGAAAGGGAGAATATGAATATTTAGATCTGGTAAATGCAAGAAAGAAAATGAATATTTAGATATATTAAATATGTACTATGTCACATTTGCCAAAATTTGTGTAGCTTAATTGTTAAGCAGAGATACAAATGAACAGCAAGAGTCTGTTATCTTTTTCTTCTCTCTGGCTTCATAGAATACATTGAATTAATCTCAAATTTAATGATACAAAGAAAAATTTCATATTTGGGTACCTATGTATTATTAAGAAATTTCATAGGCCTAAAGGCTATATAATTAAGATAATTATATAAATTTGCAACAAAATTAGCAAAATGGTTATTAGTTAGTATAGAAGGTATATGTGAACTCCATTTGATTTCTCATGGTCTTTCAATGATCTAAAAAAATTCCATTATGTTGAACAGTATGAAATTGCCATTACTGTCTTCAAACGATGGCAATTTCATACAGCTCAACCTAATCATTTTAGTATCTAGTCTTTTAAGCACATGTTGAGCATTTTTATTGCACCTAGGTGAAGGATAATCTTTGAGACAGTGGAAAATGGTTGACCATTATAATATACAAAAGGAGCACTGAAATGATATGATAATATTGCATTAATTTGATGAAGGTAATAGGAATCGATTATCCAATATCAATTGGGTAATAAATAATAAATAATTTTCTAAGGTAAAACTACAAAGATATAAAATCTATGATATGGACAAGAGTAACAGGCATTTTAGAAAGCACTTAAATTTTTTAAATAGCTATTTGAAATAAATATATTCCTTCAAAAATAATAGCCAAATATGTAATGTCCAAATTCCACTAGAATGATAGAAATGGTAAGGAAAGACTTGAAAATTACATACTAGCTTAAGAAAAGGTATTCTTGATATAGCTGTTAAATTTATAATCCCCTAAGCAGAGCATCTAAATACAGTAATAACCCTAGTACCACTTACTCAATGCTCATTCTTGAAATTAGGTCAAAAGTTGTAAACCCTGCTGCCATGAAGTTATTCTTATATTGCCCCATCTTTATAGAATCCAGCCAGTCACCAACTGTGACAAACAAAGGATATTCGGGAACTTCACCAGGAGACTCTGGCATTCTATAAGGAAGAAAAAAACCCAAAAAACATAGACACCATTTAAAAGCCAGATAAAGCAAGAGTTATCAAATTTTTTCCCTTTTATAATATTCTTTTTTTGTGACAGATTTTTACTATTAAGGTTCTTTTTAAATTTCAAAATATTAAGAAGGTACAAATGTTTTTATTATGTGTATATCTTGAATAATGTTTAAGTTGAAGCTTTTAGTATGCCTACCACTGGAGTATTCATAGTACCCAACAGGTAAATTTTTGTCCCTTACACCTCACCCATCCTCCCCTCTTCTTGGTTTCCATTGTCCTTTACATCTCTTAGTGCCCATGTGTGTCCACTGTTTAGTTCCCAATTATTAGAGAGCACTTATGGTGTTTCTTTTTCCATTCCTGAGATACTACACTTAGGTTAATGGTCTCTAGTTTCATTCAAGTTGCTGCAAAAGATGTTATTACATTTCTCTTTATGGATGAGGAGTACTATATACACATATATATAATATATATATATACATATATATGTGTATACACACACACACACACACACCCCACATTTTCTTTATCCACTCACGAATGGATGGGCACTCAGGTTGATTCCACATCTTTGCAATTGCGAATTGTGCTGTGATAAACATTCAGTACAGGTATCTTTTTTATAAAATGACTTGTACATCTAATGTTTTTTATCCTCCATTTATAAAAAATCTCTGCTTTTCCATCTTATTTAAGTCAGTCGCTTTTAAAAAATTTTATTTACCAAATCAGTCAATTTTACCTGGTGAAACATTTGTTGGTTTCTTCTGTATTTTTTTGCTTTTTGCCTCTACTGGGTCTTATATTTGATAGATCTTGAAAAGACTCAGATATTGCTATCTTCTTTTTCACATTTTTCTCTTATATAAAATTGTGTTTTGAAACACAATAGCCTATCCCTTATCCCCATAAGGAGACTAACTAGCTGGAGGCCATTCACTCTTAGCCTTACTTTTTCACATTTGCTAGTATAATTCTTCTCCTTTTTATGGTGAATTCATTGGTCATGCCTCTATCTGTTTATTCTCAAACATTCTACAAGAATTTATTGTTTGTTAAAAAGAAATTTCTGCTGTTATAGAGTTTAGTTGCATGAATAATATTTTCATTCATACAAGCATAAGGTACTGTAGCTTAAAGCACAGCTATTAATAAGGCACAAAATGAAGCAAAAGCAATAGGTTAACAAGAAAAAGGAATCCACCCTGATGACTCTGAAAGGCAGTGATATAGCAATCTTTATTTTTGTTTCTAAGATCTGATGTAAAAGGTCATTCCTGTTGGAAATATTTTTGTAGTCTTAATATAAAAATAATATAAGGCTGTTACTTTGAAAGGCTAGGGTATATATGTGAGTATACATAGATACATACATTTACATGCTATATATAGAAAATAGTTATATATATATATATAAAATAGCTAAAGTAAGAGGGAATAAAAATGGAATTAACCTTAGAAATTATAGTAACGACAGCCCAGAATTGTGTATTTAAGCCATCCTGATAATAAATTATATTATTTTGCTTATAAAAATAAATAAAATAAATATTAAAAATATTTTGCATGTTTGAGTATAGTTACCCTTAACAGTGACTTCTTCCTTTTTACCACCACTCAATTCTATTATCACATTTCCTGTTTGGAAGCTATTAAGACACATTCTTTTCTCCCAAACTGCATACTGGAATGTTATTTGATTGTTGGCTATTCCATTTTAATTAATACCAAAATAATTAACATGCAAAACTACCACTAAAATATAGTAGTAAAAGTACATTTATATTATTAGATGTGTTATTAGCCCTTTAGGGTAATAATTATGTCATCTTAAGAATTCTCTTTTTTTAAATAAGTATAATTTACTTATCAATATAAAAGCCCTTAAAAAGATCTCAAAATTAAGAGATTATAAACCATTACACGAAGATTGAGTTAGAATATTCTTTCCAAACATTTAGCAGAGTAAATTGAACTGGATGAAGCAAAAAAAAAAAAAAGTACAGATGAAAAAAAGATGAAGGGAAAATAAAAAGTAATACAAGAGAAATAAAGTAGTTGAGAATATTAGAGTGAAATAGCCAGACTCCAGCAGGAAACAGATTGGGTTTTTTTGTTGTCGTTGCACCTTTCAGCTTAAGAATTCTTAGAACTAGAGTTTATATTAACTAGTAAAGAAGTAACAATTTTTTAAAAAGATGTTTAGTGTTTGAGTCAAATTAGTATTTTCTAAGTATTGAGAAGCTTTTTTAGTAGGAGTAAATCACTCAATTATTTTTATTAGAATATTGAAGTTAGTCCAACCTTCATGTACTTTGTTTTAAAAATTTTATAAAGAATGAAAGAATCCATAGAGGCTAAACTAGAGCCATAGTTTTAAATGTTCATAATCTGGAATATTTCATCATAATGTTTTTACCATTCACATTTGAACAATTTCAGCTTTAATTAGAAACTGATAATATAGTAGCACACATAATTAAACCATATGAAGTAAGAATTTGTCCACTATGAAGCAGAAGGGCATAGATGTAAATATACGGGAATGGGAGTTAGGTTCTAAGGTTAATGCTTAAGGTGAAAATTTAAAATCTTTTACAATCAAAGTTGCCCTTAAAAGGACCTGAGTCTTTTAGGAGCACAAGTTGTATATGTCACAACTTCCAAAGACTCTCAAAGGTGCCCCTTGGAATTCAGGACAAAGTTCCTGCCAAAAGCTTAGAATTCATTTCTTTAGTTTTTCTTTGATGGCTACATTGACCTCGCTTTTTCTAAACTGAGGTCTAGTTGAAGGTGGAGGTAGGGGTGAACAGGGATGACAGGAAATCCAGGAGCTTTTGCGCTTTATGGAATTTGCATAAATTAAATGCATGTATCTTATGATTACACTTTAATCCCTATTGAGTGTAGTTACCCTTAACAGTGACTTCTTCCTTTTTACCACCACTCAATTCTATTATCACATTTCCTGTTTGGAGGCTGTTAAGCCACATTCTTTTCTCCCAAACTACATACTTGATTGTTACTACATACTTGATGTTACTTGATTGTGGGCTGTTCCACTTTAATTAATACCAAAATGATTAATGATTTGATCTGAAACAAAGATTAGTCATGTTTAAAGGTTGAAAAGCTACCATAGCATCTACCAACAAATACATGAATTGTTGCTATATTTCTTCAAAGTTTCCTAGAGGTGTTAATGTTAATAAGTATTATCAAATAAAAATTCATATGTAAAAATAAAATAATAAAAGTGTGGCACAGTCAAAGAAGTTTTCTTTTTTTTTTTTAGGTTCACTAAATTTATTTTAAAAATCATAAAACGTTTCTTACAAAAGAGCATAACATTCTGCACACTGCTATGAACAGATACCAGGGACATGTGGACTATTGTTACTTTCCTCCCTGTCCCACCCCCCAAATGTTACAGTGACCACAAAGCAAGGTGTTCACAATTATTACATAGGGGGAATTTTTTTAAACCACCAACAATGAACAAAAAATAAAATCCACTCACTCTGCTGCTGTTTCAAAATTTCAATGTTAGTTTTTGCACGCCCTTCCCCCCCCACCCTGTTTGTAAGGAACTAAAAACATTACATCTGATGAACAGCAAAGATTTCACTACACCTCAAATGCAGAACACCTATGAAGCAGAGGAATGTTGGCTTTTTAAACAGAAGCAGATAAAAAAAAAAGATGCAGGACTCTTTCAGTTCTTCACTAGTCTTAGAAAAACTTTCCAGAATACTGCTTCACACTATAAAAAAGAAAAAATATCTTGCATTAGAATCCTTCAACATCTGCATACTGCTTCACACTGTCTGAATTATCTTACATGTTAAAAACACACATTAGAGTAGGGAATACTCTGAAAAATGCTACAATAAGAAAACTTCTTTGGGCGAAGGGACGGCGCCCTGCGCGACTACAGCACTAGGGTGTCAGTTGTTGGTCCCGCCCAGAACACTTCAGTTCTGCCTGCAAGGATATAAATATCTGATTGGGTGCCATTAATACAAAAAATGGAAAAACCGAACAGCCAGAGGAACTCTCCCAACACTGAAACCAATGGTGAATTGGTAAACGCCCTGCAGAAGATATGGAAGAGGAACAAGCATTTAAAAGTCTAGAAAACACTTGAGATGGTTGAAATTACGTATTCGCTTCAGAAGCAAGAATGCTGGGGCAGTGAATTGGAAAGGAGGCAAGAATAATTAAGCTCTCCGTACTGACTACATGCCAGTGGTTTCAGTCCAAGACAGCATGGCCCCGAGCACATATTGAGTATCAGTGCTGATATTGAAACAATTGGAGAATTCTGAGAAAATCATCCCTACCTTGGAAGAGGGCTGCAGTTGCCATCACCCAGTGGCAC